TGTGAGAAAGGCTGAGACTTGGTTGAACACAACTCGTTCAAGTGTTTTTGCAATGAAAGGTAGAAGTGAAACCGGTCTGTAGTTCTCTAAAAGAGTTGGGTTAAGGGTGGGTTTCTTACGAAGTGGGGTTATACGAGCCTGTTTAAATGTTGAGGGAAAAACACCAGTGTGAAGGGATGTGCAAACGATGTGAGTGAGTGCAGGTACAACGGCAGGAGAAATGGCTTGAAGGAGATGAGATGGAACAGGATCAAGCGGACAAGTAGTAGGATGATTGGATAGGATGAGTTTATAGAGACTTCTGCCTCAGAGAGTGGAGAGAAGGATGAACACGAGTGCATGTTTGCTGGTAAGATGTGTTTGACAGTTTGTGGTGTGGCAAATTGTGCACTGAGATTTGTAATTTTATTAATGAAGAATGTGGCAAAGTCGTCAGCTGTTAGAGCTGATGAAGGAGTGGGAGGAGGAGGACAAAGGAGGGAGGAAAATGTTTAAAGAGCATGCAAGAGTTAATTCTGTTGTGATAGTATGTCCTTTTAGCAGTGGAGACATTAGCAGAGAATGAAGAGAGGAATGATCGATACACATTAAGGTCAGTAAGATTTTGTGATTTGTGCCATACTCTTTCTGCAGCTCTGAGCTTAGAAAGATGCTCACGGAGAACATTAGATAGCCAAGGGGCAGAAGAGGTGGTTACGAGCTGGCCTGGAAGACAAGGGGCAGACAGTGTCTAAACAAGACGTAAGAGTGGAGCAGAAAGTATCAGTAGCACTGTTGACATCAAGAGATAACTGTTCAGGGGAAGGAAGCGAAGATGAAACCATAGCAGATAGCCGGGAGGGTGAGAGTGAGCGTAGGTTATGTCGAAAAGTGACATGTGGAGGGGTATGTGTTGTGTCAGGAACCATGTTGAGGTTAAGAGTGAAGAGGAAGTGATCCGAGGTGTGCAGTGGAGTAACCAGTACATGATCAGTGGAGCAGTGTCGTGTGTAAATAAGGTCCAGTTGGTTGCCTGATTTTTGAGTAGCCGTAGTTAACACCTTCTTGAGATCAAAAGAGGCAAGCAGAGTGTGGAATTATGCAGTCTGAGGTTTATCTAGGTGGATGTTGAAGTCTCCAAGCATAACTAGGGGAGTACCATTCTCAGGAAAGGTTGAGAGCAGCATATCTAATTATTTTACAAAGTTACCTAGTGGTCCTGGGGGTCGATAAATTGCAGGGTGTTAGGATTGCGCTGCCTACAGTTTGTGATGCGTGGTTTGCGAGTGATAGTAGGGATCTGGAAACACAGTAAGAATTGGTTATTAAAAACTGAAAACAGAAGGGAAACAAGTAGTAGGAAAGAGAATGATTCAAAAGCGATACTTATATCTCTTGCCGGTGTCCCTGCTCGGTGGAGTCGAATGGTAGAGTCGATGGTCTTTACACTCTTTGGTCTTAACACGAGGAGGGCTTCACACGAGGGCTGCCGCGGTATACTAAGCTTTTAATATTTGTCAAAAAAAAATCTAATTGAATTCAGCTGGACACACTTTCCTGTTTATCACAACAAATGGCCAAGCAAGCGCACAACAGACAAGGTACGCGATACATACGAGACCAAACGCAATTTCAGCACGTCTCCACACAGTTTCCTAGCAACTAGGGGTGCTCCGATCAATCGGCTACCGATCACTTTCGGCCGATAATCACGTTTGGATGATTGATCGGTGGTCTCTAAAAAGGCCGATCTCAAAAAAACTATCTCAAGCTGATGACGCTGCCATGAGAGGTTTGACACGACATGCAGCGGCACCGTCTCAGTCTCTGTCTGGCACGGGTGAAATAATTATACTTCATATTTCTTCATTATATAACATATAAAGTAATTTGAAAACCTTGTGTGAGATGTAATTTCACAAACAGCGTGAGTGAATCACCGCACGCTCTCTATCAAAATGCGCAAATGGCTTCAAATCACCACATCGCGTCTGTCTATAAGCGAGCTGCACGCTGCACAGTTGACACAGGAATTGTCACTTGCACAGTCGAGGCAGTGTCACATCGCCTCTAAAATTTATAAATTGCATTTCTTTTTAATTCTTGACAGTGTTTAACCATTCAGCGCTCGAGTGCTCTCCTGGAGACCATGCACTCATGCACACTCGCCGCGCGCACACATAATCCCAGGTTCACATTACTCCGTTTGCAGTGCATACGTGGTGCGTATTTTTTCCGCGCTCATTTTAACGGATTAAAGCATTCACTGCACACGGTTGCAGTCCAATAGTGAGTCCAGTAGCGGTGCGTCTGCAGCAGTGCAGAGATCGTTTCCGCACCGAGTCTATTGCTGCTCTGCATGTAGAGGTCTGCATTCCCGCGGCTCTCCCGCGGGAACCGACCGGATTTTTTGCATCGCGGGATTAAATTCCCGAATAAAATGTGATAGTGGTCGGTAACTCTGGTGTAAGTTGAACAGGAGCAGGCGGTCTAACAATATCCCATTCCCGACGTCCATTCAGAACAGCATATCTGCGCTTTTTTCTTATTGACTACCAGTACAGCTTGCGCTCAGGACTGTTATGTTATGCTTTAAATGTCACGTGTTTTATTTGCAGGGTCTGTGCGCAGCATGTGCATAACGATGCTCAGAGCAGGCTGTACCTGTGATAAATATACGACCCTCAGACAGAACAGGCAGGTTGTCGAAGAGTGACAGAGCAGAATAAGGATGGAGCAAAGTGTGGATGCGCTGTCCTTGAAGGACGTTCAACTCGGTTTTGTTTATATCTATCTAGTTATAAATCTAGAAGTAAATGCAAAAGTAAAAAGCATTGAATAATGTGTTGCTTATATTTATTGTGCTTAAACATGTCTGTGAAAGACTGTATAACTGTACTGTGTAAAAAAGCATTTTCAGTGACAATATTTGGATTTGAAATCAAAATAATGGATAAATATTGTGTTTGTGGTAAACAGTCGCGGATCAGTAGCAGACTCCTGTTTGAAAGCACAGTCTGTGCTGCTTCCCCTCTCACAAGAGTCTCCTAAGAGGGGAATTCCCTCCATTTTCAAAAATGAAATTCAGGCAATGAATAAATGTATGAATAAATCCTGATTGGAGTATCACTATAAATAGTTATAAATGATAAAAAGAAGGCTTTAAAAAGATCGGTATCGGTGATCGGTATCGGCAGATACTGCTTTCTGTGATCGGTGATCGGCCTCAAAAATCCTGATCAGAGCACCCCTACTAGCAACGACAACTGAGCTAAACACTGAGACAAGAAATAAATACACTTACGAGCTGCTTTTAACTTCTGCTGATTGACTACTTCTCTCAAAGAGTATATCTTAGAGTATATCTTAACACTGTTTTGCTGGCGCTTGAGGACACTTTCCTGTTTATCACAACAAATGGCCAAGCAAGTGCACAGCACTGACAAGGTACGCGATACAGTACGAGACCAAACGCGATTTCTATATATATATATTGTAATGTTTATTATTATTTATTAGCTCTAAAAAGGGGAATATTTATGACGAATTATAACTGGTTATGATTCATAATAAATATTTAGATTATATCTTCGAATTAACTGTAGCAGAATCAATATTACAATTATTTCTGGCAATTTAAAACCCCTATACAACGTAACATCTCTGACCAGAACTGTAATTTATATGCAAATGTCAAAAGGCTAAAAGGGTCTTTTAAGCCATAAACAGTCCAACGCACATGCATGATCCTACGCAGACGCTACAATATATATACATACATACATCCAGTACATATGCACACACACACACATATATATATATATATTTATATATTTAATTTTTTTCATGTTTTGTTATGTTGCTGCCTTATGTTAAACCTCTTTAAATTACTTTTTTCCCCACATCAATCTACACTCCATACACCATATTGACACAGCAAAAACAGAATTGACTTCATAAATTTATTACAAACAGAAAAAACTGAAATAAGTACATTGCATAAGCATTCTTAATTAACTAAATATTTAGCTGAAGCACCTTTACAGTCTCAAATCTTTTTTGTTTGATGCGACAACATCAGCATTTGGCATTTATCTGCCATTCTTCTCCTCACCTGTTCAGCTCTCAAGCTCGGTCAGGTTGGATGGGGGTAGACATACATTTTCAGTTTTCTCCAGAAATATTTGATTGGGTTTAAGCCCAGGCTTTGGCTGGGCCACTCAAGGACATTCACAGAGTGGTCTATAAGCCACTCTTGCTGTGTGCTTGGGGTCATTGTCCTGTTGGAAGGTGAACCTTCTGCCCAGTCTCAGGTTCTGAATGCTCTGGACTGGGTTCTCATAAAGGCTATCTCAACATTTGAGTTTGGCCACACCACCACAAAGCCCAGATCGGTGGAGTGTTGCAGTGATGTTTGTCCTCCTGTAGATTTCTCCTATCTACACATATGATCATGGAGCTCAACTAGAGTGACCATCAGCATCTTGGTCACCACTCTAACCAAAGCCCTTCTCCATTAATTGCTCAGTTTGGCCAGGAGGCCAGCTCTAGGAAGAGTCCTGGTTGTTTCAAACTTCTTCCATTAACTGAAACTACATGCTTCTGTGACCCTTCAATGAAGCAGAATTTTGTTCTGAACTCTTCCCCAGATGTGTGGTTTTTAGTCTCCCATTGACTTTTATTTAGTTTTTTTATTTATTAAGTAAGTAAAAAGGACCAATTTGATGTTAAAACCAACCATGTTCATCTCCAGTTAGTTTTAACCTTTCTTTGGCAAAGCAGATCTGATGCACTTTTTTTAATGCCCTGCAGAAAACGTAAATCTATGTTTTTCTCTAGGATTTATTAAATAAGTAAAAAGGACCAATTTGATGTTGTTGTAATGAAAACCAACTGTGGTGTTATTTCTCCATTCAGTTTTAACCTTCTTTGGTGCTGCATCTGGTAATTAAGACGAAGTACAATGAAAAGGAAGGGGGCAGTTTATGAACAGGAGGGAATTAAATCTGGGGCAGGTGCAAGGACAAAGAGAGTTCAAACTTATTCAGGCTAGCCGAGTTCATTGAGAGAATAAGGCTTTGATGTGCACATGAGCTCTAGGTTTCAGTCTCAAACACTGTCTTACCTGGTCGTGGTAGATCTCATATAGCTTGACTATGTTGGGGTGTCCATCACACAGTTTGAGAGCAGCGATCTCTTTCTGCGTCAGTGCCTCCATTCTGCAGAACAGTAAACTACAAATGACTTCCATAAAAAAATTTGCCTATAAAATTTAACTAAACTTTAAATACATCAAAAAGACTCTGTTAGCAGGCTGCATAGCTGGTACCTTTTACTGACGATCTTTACGGCATATTTCTGTCCAGTCTTTTTGTGAGTGCACTGTCTGCAGATGGAGAAGCTTCCCTCTCCCAGAGCGTTCTCCCTCAGGTCCATCTCATAGTTTATGTAGAACGGAGAGTCCTACAGTCAGTTCGTCAAAAGTTTAGAGGTCAGGTAAAATCCACTTACAATGTTAATCAAGATTTTTTTGCACCAAAACAATTGTAATATACTTTCACATGACCTGACACTTAGAATTAAATAAGTTAATTTGTTACCATACCGTTAACATTTTTATATGTAAATGAGCCCTGTTTTGATTGGCTATCCTCTATATTTTGTTGAATTTCAAACTGACATTTATCAGAATCAAGTTTATGATTAATGTGAAACTGCTGCAAAGGCCATATGTGACCCTGGACCACAAAACCAGTCTTAAGTCGCTGGGGTATATTTGTAGCAATAGCCATAAATACATTGTATGGGTCAAAATTATTGATTTTTCTTTTATGCCAAAAATCATTAGAATATTAAGTAAAGATCATGTTCCATGAAAATATTTTGTAAATTTCCTACTGTTAATATATCAAAACTTAATTTTTGATTAGTAATGTGCATTGCTAAGAACTTCATTTGGACAACTTTAAAGGTGATTTTCTCAGTATTTTGATTTTTTGCACCCTCAGATTCCAGATTTTCAAATAGTTGTATCTCGGCCAAATATTGTCCAATCTTAACAAACCATACATCAAAGCTTATTCATTCAACTTTCAGATGATGTATAAATCTTAATTTTGAAAAATTGACCCTTATGACTGGTTTTGTGGTCCAGGGTCACACGTGTTATTGTGCATATGGCTTGATGATTTCTGAATGATCAGTTTCAGCTGATTTATTTTGATAAATGGTCTGGATGGACTGTGAAGGGAGCTTTGGTTGTAACTGTTGCAGTATATCTACAGTACAGAGTACATAAAAAAATCTTTTATTTTAGAAAAGCAAAGAAAATCCAGCTGCTCTTCATCATTTCTGACAGTTCTGCAGAAGGGTATAAAACGTCAGGTTTTTATATTTTGTGCTACTTACTATTTTTAATGGCTGGTCTCCGTATACACAGGAGATGGATGTTGTTGGCTTTTTTAGTGTATCACGCCCATGAATACAATACATTTTCAAATTAAAAATAGTCCAAATTTGACAAGCAGTGCAGAAGTTCAATTTTAAATCAACAGACCAATCAGATGGATCTGGGGGCAGAATAGACATCTTCAGTGTATTGAGAGTGTAAATCAGCAACATTTTAAGAGAGTTAATGTGCATTTATGCGCCCCTTCTTCTAAATACCACTGCACTCCATCTTGCTGTTTTTAAACAAGAAATGTGTGAAAGCCCCTCAAAATGTTTTCTACTCAACCGTGAAGCTGTCATTGTAATATTTGCATAGTGAATTGTATCAGGACTTTTGTTCTCATGGTTGAGGTATACCTATGATGAAAATTACAGGCCTCTCTCATCTTTTTAAGTGGGAGAACTTGCACAATTGGTGGCTGACTAAATACTTTTTTGCCCCACTGTAAATGTATTCTTCTCTACTGCACAATACTATCTATTTCCCTATCCCACCCTCTATTTAACTTCTCTTACATCATTTAATTTACCAACAACCAAAATACTGATATTATGGTATAATTGTGTTATAATCAATATGCACAATATCCATTCAATATCCATTCATGTAGCTCAACCAGTAGAGCATGGCACCAGCTTTTGAAAAAATGCGTCTGCCAAACCAATAAATGTAAATGTATTTCCAAAAATAATTTGCTCCTGTATTATATAATAATAGAAAGTGTAATTATTTATGCAAGCAATTGAAATATTAAGTTACTGTACCTGTGAACTATGTTGTACAATTTTTTTTTTAAGACTTAAGATCCTTGCACACCAAGTCCAAAATTTTCGCATGCGTTTTTTCGTTCTTTCGTATTCGTCATCCTTTCCTATCAAAATGCTTTTTACGGAAGCGAAAGCGCAGAAAATCTAACCTTGTCCGAATTGTTTTATAATGGACAAAAGTTTCGAAAGCAGTGTGTAAACGTGACTGACAACATGTCAACAACGTATTTATTTTTTAACGTGCGAAAAAATTCCGGACTCAGTGTGCAAAGACCTTTAAACTTAAGATGGAGTAAAACCGATACTCAAGAACCGATAACCGCTTTAGTAAAAAAAATTTAATATTGTTTAAAAATATTAATAGTAGTTTAATGGTCTATCACTATCGAAAACTAATTTGCTCCCGAATAAGCACTGGCATTTCTTTCAATGTTTTTGCAAAAATAATGATGGTTTTCAAACAGGTTCCCTGAAGATTTCACCCTTTTTCCATTGGTTTCCATATCGATGTGATATGATTCATGATTCTGATTTCACAATACAATTTTCTCACAATTTCTTTTTTAACAAAATTAGATTTAAGACAGATTTTTAAAAAGGTGTCCTTTTGTTATTTCTCAGACCAAAAGGCTGCACATTACTTTGTGAAATTGAAAATGTCAAACAATATACTAACTTGAAATTTTAAAACAAATCCCAAATCAAATAAATACATAATACAAATAAAATACATTTCTCCATGCAAGTAAACTAAGGTTTTGCCTGTGTATTTTAATCATGATCCAAACAAAGATGCTGCATACATGTTATTTAGATTGTAAAATTTAGAAATTTGAAACAAAAACAAAATGGTCTGACTTTAGCTTTGTGATACTACATAAAAAATCTGAACAAAACAAAAACAGCAGATGGGCTGAATGAGACACAAATGTCACTCTCTGACAGAAGGTGGCGCTTAAACAGCAGGTATTTATAGGCTGCTGCCCCTTTAAGACCGAATGTACGGATCCAATATAATGATGCACATGCGATTTCTTTCTCCACTGTTTACGTTCATTTAAGACATGAAAATACTTGTAGAGATAGTTATTTTGAGATAATTTTGCTTGTATGTGTCCGTTCAAGCGAAAGAGGAATCAATTCTGTATTCGTGCTCTGCCTGTAACGCCACTCTGTATGTGCACGCTTTGAGGATGTGCGCGCGAGCACCGAACTGAATTCTTCATGCGCATGAATGGTTAAAAAAGCTTGAATGTTTAAATTTGTCAGACTTAGAAACACGTGTAAATGATAAACTATGATCCGTTTCACCCCTACAAGCGAGTGAACAACGTGAATCAAAGGAAGGGATTTTATATCACTGTTCAAGGTAGCCCGTTGGGCAGGGCAGTGAAACATTTTGGTAGCCCGACTGGAAAACACGATAGCCCTGGGATGTCGGGCTAGCGATTTTGCGAGCCCTGACCTCACATTAAACTGGGATGGGAGACAGTATTTTAACACTGAAAAATTACATACTTCAGCTTTAAATATTGTAATGTTTTTACAAAGCAGCAATATGCACACTGACCTTCATCATAGCACTACGGGCAACAGCGGCAGACCCCGGCCTCTCTGACCGGCCGCACAGCTGAGCCGGGTCGTCCATCACCGCATTCCTCTTAAACAGGATGGAGGGAGCCATGAAGGAATAGCCCTGCAGATACAAACATCTATAAACACACTCACTAACAGAAGGGAGAAATAATGCAGAGGAAGTTTCAGGGTCACTGACAGTAGGCCTGTCACAATAATCAATATATCGACTTATCGCGCAATATACTGTATGTACATGACCTCAATCATTTTTGGTGGCACAATACATCGCCCATTATATTTACTTAAAAATTAATGTCACCATGTTTTGAACATTCCACTTGCGCATGTGTCTTTTGCAGCTTCTCGTACATAACGTGGTGTGGTCATGCGGTGCTCGTTCAAATTGAAAAAAATGCTTCTACAAAGTTTCATCTGCAGATATGGTCTTGTTTAGGGATCTGTGTCTTTGTGCATACGGACATCTGACTGCTAAATAGTGATTGTGTTTTTCAGCATTAGTGTGCACCCTTAATTTACAGAGAAAAGTGAAAAATCTGTAGATGGAAAAATCTCCATACAAGTTCTTTGTGCATTTTTCTTTTTTTCTACTTTTTAAAAAAAGTTTTTAAGGTATCTAATATTTTGATACCTAATTTGCATGATCTAAATATTCTTAAAAATTAAAAGTTTGTTGTCATTTTAAAGTGTGTAGGCCTTCTTGCATTATTATGCGGTTACATTATGATTATATATTCAGTGGCATAAATGGTCTTTAAAATGACAATAATATCGCTTATCGCAATTATTTCTCGGGCAATTTATCGCACAACAAAAAGTGGTTATCGTGACAGGCCTAACTGACAGAATTCAAACACCAAGGCTTTTTGCATTTCTGCAAATCCTTCATGCTGAGGGACTCCAGTAACATTGTTTGCGACAACTGCATCATGTGCCCCCATCTAAATAAAGCCTCCGACAGCCCATGTCCCACTTACATGGCCAGACTGCAGCTGTGTGCTACATGGGTGGAGGAGTGGCTGGCTGGATGAGAGGATGGCTGGACGGAAGGATGAGGAGATGAATGGTTGAAATGCTTTTAATTGCTAAGCCAAGGTATTTGATTGCCCTGCTTTTCAAATGATCACAGCCCTCTAATGCAGCTTAATTTCAGTTTGTGAGGAGTTTGAGGGGGTGGCTGGGTTTATATGCGGCTATGCATGTGTGTGCGCTGTGGAGCGCTTCGTAAGTTATCATTGCTGACGTCGCTGCAATTGTACCGCCCGAGAATTACGAAGGATCAAAATTCCAGCGCACATGAAAGGCGAATGCTTAGAAAAGCCAAGATGAAGTTGGTAATCAAAGGTTGAAGGAGTAATTGAGCCAGACATGGTTGTTCTCGCAGACGCCGACCTTTTATTCCATGACAGAGCCGTTTAATGGCGGCATTGATCTGCCAGACTGAAGGATTCAGAAGGCAATCATAGACACCATCTCTTTTGCAGCCTCCCATTTCAGCTGGCATCATGCTATAGGCAACGTTATGGATCAAGCCGCATCAAAAATAGTCCTTCACATCTGATGCTTGAATCCATCTCCATATCACCATAATTACATCTCCAAACAGCTCTCTAATTCATCTGAATACCAACATAGACAGCCGGGCTCATAAGTAAGTGATCATTATAAAGGCTGACTTGCCCATATCCACTTCGGTACTTCCTGCTTACTAATAATGGAGGGTTAACAGAACAATTATATTCTAAAGCAACATCAAATGTCCACTCGTGTGCAGAAATTATTTGTCATAAATGCTCAGTGTGAATCAATATTAGGCACATCACACATGCATGACATTTGTGAAAAACTGATATATTGGCCAGGAAAAGAAATCAGATGTTATTTGGTAGTTTTGGGACAATTCTGCTTCAAAAGCTGAACTTTTTTTGAGTGAACTTTGAGTACATTTTGATCAAATACACTACCATTCAAAATTTTGGGTAAGATTTTTGTTGAAAGAAGCTAATACTTGCATGCAGCAAGTATGCATTCATTTGATCAAAAATGGCAGTAAAGCCTTACAATTAATTTATCTTTCAAAGAATTCTATTCATCAAAGAATTCTGAAAAACAATGCATCAGTTTCAAGAAAAATGTTAAGCAACACAACTGTTTTCAACATTGAAAATAATGAGAAATGTTTCTTGCAATCAGCACATGACAATGATTTCTGAAGGATCATGTAAAAACTGGAGTAATTGCTGCAGTAAAAATTCTGCTTTTCCATCATAATAATAATTAATAATAATATAACTTATAAAAATAAAAATAATATAACTTAATAATATAATTGCGTATTAGTTATGTCATTGCATGATTACGTAAACAAACTAGCAAATTGAACCAGCTAGTGGAAAAGAATAGTACTTTTCCGTTTGCCTGATGCTATAGATTAAAGGTAATAATGTTGTAAATAATGTTCAGTTTTCTTGCACAGACCAATAGTTTCACTTCATAAGATCTCAATATATCGTCTGGAGCCATGGGTATTCATTTTGTGTTGCATGACATGCTTTTTTATTCTCAAAGACGGGTAGCCGCTGACATGCATTTTATGGATCACCAAGCACCATGGTTTAAGCTAAAAATCTTCTTTACTGTTCTACCCAAGAAAAAAAGTCACCTATATCTTGGATGGCCAGAGAGTGAGTAAACTAACAGCAATCTTTTAAACTGGATGAAATATCAGTTTAAATTCCTCACTTTCACACATCATGTTAGGCCGTCTGACTTGCAAATAACCAAAAATATCTGCCAATAAACAAATATTATAATACAATACAATTAGTTATTAATTCTAATACCTGAAAGATGCGGTCACAGTTGTTTGGAAGTGCCGCTGGGGAGTATGTCGGGTCCATCTCTGTAAACTCCTCAGCAAAGTTGCTAACATCCAGCTCATCACGAATTACAGGCTTAAACGGAGCCGGAACCTTCTTAGCAGCTAGATCCTCCCAGTTCATTTTCTGAATCAACCATAGTCAAACATTTTAGACGTTGGTCCTTCAAAGCATGAGAGAATCTGAATTAACTTTAACAAGCCAATGAAATGACTAGGGAAATAGTTATTCTACTCTACTAAAATAATTTTTTTTGTGTGAAAAAAAGTAAATTATTCATTTTCATCTTGCCTGGTAAAATGGATGGCTTTTCACATTCTGGGCCCCTGAGGGCCCGGAGCCCAGCCTCTTCTTTGGGTCTTTAATTAGCAGTTTCTGGATAATGTCTTTGGCCAGATGCCCCATGTCTTTGAGGAATGGAGGATTCTTTTTCATAATTCTCCTATCGGGAAAAGAGAGCGAATTAATAAAAAAGAAAAAAACAACACCAACTGTACCCTTCCTTCAGATTTGTATTGGAATTATAATTAAACAATAATTAAATTATATATTAATTATCATTATCAACATGCTGATGCAATCAAACAGTCAACTCATGATTTCAAAGCAAGGCGGACTTCGAGATAATAAAAAGAGAACTGGTGTTTAACTACATAAAGGCATGCAGAGAATTAGGGTTGGAAACCGAGAACCAGTTATTATTCAAAACAAGAATTCAAAACAAAAATTCAAGAATAAAATTAATATCTGAGTTTTCAGATCTGTTCAAGTCTGACTCCTAAACAAATTACTCCTATGAGTCATCAAATTTCATCATGTCAGATTCAAAATTAAACCCAAAAAATTCAAAAAACCTATTCTTGTCATTTGTATGTAAGGCTCATGATACTCTAGTAGTCTAGTTGATTGATCATATGACGATGTGTGTTCATAACAAACAGTTTTGGTACCCAAAGACTTCCTTTCCATACAACGAAAGTCAATAGGAACTGAAACCATATAGCAACCAACATTCTTCAAAAGTATCTTCTGTTGTCTTACACAGAAGAAAGTAAGTCATACGGGTTTGGAACAACATGAGGGCAAGTAAAGAATTTTCATTTTTGGGTGAACTATCCTTTTAAAGAATCAGATAGTTCACCCAAAAATGAAAATTCTGTCATTAACTACTCACCCTCATGTCGTTCCAAACCCGTAAGACCTCAGTTCGTCTTCGGAACACAAATTAAGATATTTTTGATGCATTCTGAGAGCTCTCTGACCCTCCCATAAACAGCAAGGGTCCTTACATGATCAAGGTCCAGAAACGTGGCAAGGAGATCGGTAAAATAATCCATGTGACATCAGGGGTTCAACCGTGATTTTACAAAGCTACGAGAATACTTTTTGTGCGCAAAAGAAAAGAAAAAAACCCGACTTTATTCAACTATTCATCTCCTCCGCATCACCCTAGCGCCATTTTGGAGAGTATCCACTGAACGCAAACAGCGTACCCTGTTTTGTGTCAGCTGATGTCACATGGATTATTTTACCGATCTCCTTGCTACGTTTCTGGACCTTGATCATGTAAGGACCCTTGCTGTCTATGGGAGGGTCAGAGAGCTCTCAGATTCCATCAAGAATATCTTAATTTGTGTTGCAAAGATGAACAGAGGTTTTACGGGTTTGGAACGACATGAGGGTGAGTAAATAATGACAGAATTTTCATTTTTGGGTGAACTATCCCTTTAATGGAACTAGGGTTGCTAAGAGGAATCACAATCAGAATCAGCATCGTTAAATTCCTTACTCCCATTCTTAGCGAATACACCTCTAAGTGTGTGTGTGTGTGTGTGTATGTGCTGGTCTTACTCGGCAATGTCAGAATGAGAGTTCTCATTTCCATCGACAGTGAAAGGAGAGCCTCCGGTCAACAGCTCATACATCAGAACTCCCATACTCCACCAGTCCACCGCCTGCAGGAGCACAACACAAGGGCTATATTCTCAAAAGCACATTCAAATGTATGCTGATTGGGGCAAAAATGAATGAATCGCTTTTCAAAGTCAAACTTTAAGCTGCTGTATATAATTTAAGAAAATTACATGTGTAATTATATAGCACTTAAAAATGTGGTGAATGGGCAGATAAGCGGTTCACTTTACCTTGTCATGTCCTGACTCTCCTCCTGCTACAATCTCAGGAGCCATGTACTCAATAGTGCCACAGATGGAATAAGCCCTCTCTACCTACAAGACCAAAAGGGTTTATTTTATTGCTTGCAACAACCTATCTCCCTTGCTTCCAAATTTCCTAAAGTTTCTTCTACAGTTTAAGTTTTCACGATTGTCTTTGTAGCAATCAGAAATTATTTTCTTTCGGAAACATAGATATGTGAATGTTTGGTTTAGGGCTGGGTGTGTTTACTCAACTGAAAATTCTCATTAATCTACCGTATGCCATTTGTCTTACACGACTGACAGTGGAAGCATCGACACAGAATTTTCACTAACAATGGACCAATCAGCTTTGAGCTCAGGGCAAAACTTACACAGTAAAAAGTGTGAATTTCTTTGTTTACTACTTTATTATCAATAAAAAAGACATTGGTATTAAAAATAAATAAAAATCACACAAGATTACATTTGGTCAGACAAAAAACATGATTCATGAAACATAATGAGCTGGCTTTGCAGTAATGGTCAAAAATATTTAAATATATACACTACTGTTCAAAGGTTTGGGGTTGGTAAGATTTTTATAATGCATGTTTTTAAAAGAAGTTTTACACTCACCAAGGCTGCATTTATTTGATCAACAATACAGTAAAAACAGTAATATTGTGAAAAAGTATTACAATTTACAACAAGTTTTCTGTTTTCATATATATTAAAAAGTATTATAATATATTCCTGTGAAGGCAAAGCTAAATTTCCAGCAGCTGTTACCCCAGCCTTCAGTGTCACATGATCCTCCAGAAATCATTCTCATATGCTGATTTGCTGCTCAAGAAACATTATAATTGTCTTTACTTTCACTTTTGATAAATTTAATGTATTCTTGCTAAATAAAAGTATTAATTTCCTTCAAAAAAATCTTACTGACCCCCTGTATCAATTGCAACACGGTGTTTTAAAAGTTAAAAATAAAATGAAATGTAAACCTATGCATCGAAACATGATTCTTCATTCTAGAATGATTAATTACTGCACTTAGATGCTGTTGAGGCTAAGACTAAACGCCATCTGTGCTTTCTAAATTGGGCAAAACTGCTTTCTGAATTATGCTGCATATTTATGGAATAAATTCCATGAAAACATCTGGAACAATCTTCTTTAATATCCTATGTGCATTTAACATTATTGCCACATGTTTGAATACCGTTTCAAGCACATGGCTTTTATAATTAAAGTTCCTGCATACATTTATTAATTGGTTTGATTTTTATGCATCTCATAATCAGCACATTTCTGTCGGATGAATTTACTCTGGTACTCTGTGCGCTGGTTTATACGTTCGCTATAAAGTCTTAATAGTCACAGGCGTGTTTTCAATCCACACTTGTAAAAGAAATTCTGGCTGAAATGGGTTGTTAGCTAGTACAACAAAGGTCAAACTGAGAAAAACAAAAAGTTAATATAATCTTTTAGAACAAAGAACACCAAAACATGCATGATAAGCGATTACAGCATTGAGTAAACAGCCTTCCATGGGACGGAGGGAGGTTCAGTGTGAACTATTGGAACATCAAACAGAACATCACTGACAGGGCGGGACACGTGCGGGATATTGGGTGGTCCCCGGGAATAAACAATCATTTGTTATAGATGCACTTCTCAAAGACGAATGTTAAAACCCTTCACAACAATGCAACAAGAACTCTCTTAATACAGATCTTTCAACATTTGTCTCAAACACCCATAACAAAAATTTTGAAAAGTGGAAGTCTGGTCGTTTTTAATAAGGAACACTTAGGCCCAATCCCAATTCTATTTTAAACTCCTTCCCCTACCCCTTCCCCTTGTCCCTTGAAACGGAGTGTCAAGGGGTAGGGGTGAAAATATTCCCCTAAGAATTGGGACACCACTACTATACGTCACACATCATCATACGTCGTCTAGCTCCTACAATACACACACATATACTGGTGTGCTGGTGTGCATTAGAGCCTTTAATTATCATTCTATATTAATGCGCTGCTTACTGACACACACACACACATATCGGAGATCGCGCAGCTCACACATCCAGGAGAAAGGCTAAGGGGTAGAATTGGGATTGGGCCTTAGTATTGAGAGATATTCCAATGACAACAACAGCTGTGAAATATTAAACACTTGTTGGCCAGTCTAATCAAATATCTTTTAACCCAGTAGTTCCTAAACTGGAATGTCACCCTAACACAATGTTCCCTCTAAATATTTGTTCCAGCAAAACCTATTTCTATTAGGCAAACCCATGGAGCCGACCATCTGAGCAGAAACACCCCTTTCGAAAGACAGATGAGGTGTTCAATAGGTCATCCCTTACAAAGAAACTAAAATATGAATAACCATCTAACAGTTAATTTATTCAAAAGTTTTCATTATTTGGTTATTTTAAGGTGTTTTGGGGGTATTTTTTTTATAGAAGCTAAAAAATATTAATATATTTATATATACACACTACCGTTACAACATTTAAGGTCAGTGAGATTTTATTTAGCAAGGAAGAATTGAGTTAGAGAAAAAGAAGCTTTTCAAAAAGATAGATTTCCATTTCAAATAAATGCTGTTCAATTTAATTTTCTATTCAAAGAATCCTGAAAAAATGCATCTCAGTTTCCAAAAAAAAAAAACAGCTCAACATTGGATAATAATAAGAAATATTTTTGAGCTACAAACTATTTCTGAAGGATCATGTGACACTGACATGGCTGCTGAAAAATCACCTGTGCCATCAGAGGAATAGATTAAATTGAATTCATTATAGATTTAAATGTACTTATATTCAAATAGAAAAACAATTATTTTATATTGTAGTAATATTTAGTAAAATTACAGTTTTTACTGTATTTTACTATAAATAAATGCAGGCTTGGTGAAAGGCTTCTTTGAAAAACATTTTAAAAAACGAATGGTAGAGTATTTAAATAAAATACATTTAAAATATTTAGGCTAACTGTGTCAGAATGGTGAAGTGTCTTTACTGTCACTTTTGATCAATTTAATGCATCCTTGCTAAATAAAAGTATTAATTTCCTTCAAAAATATCTTACTGACCCCCTTTCACTCATAGTGCATCAATTGCAACACAGTGTTTTAAAAGTTAAAAATAAAATGAAATGTAAACCTATGCATCGAAACCTGATTCTTCATTCTAGAATGATTAATTACTGCACTTAGATGCTGTTGAGGCTAAGACTAAACGCCATCTGTGCTGTGTGTAAATCATATGTGTGTAATGTACTGCAATATTCACTTTAAATGTAGCATTTATGATGCAGGACAATGGTTGGTAATTTTCTTTAAGTGGTTGTAACGCTTATTCAGCCTTTTTGTCCTTGGCTGGACAACAACTTATCTGATGGCTCCCACATATGTTTGTTTGCACAGGTTGAGTGCATGGTTTTGTGGTATATATGCTGCTGCAGATGCGACCAACAAGCTCTTTTTGCAAACCGCATGGTACTTATCTGTATCTGTTATGTTTTGCCCTTAGCATGCTTTTCAATAACCAGAATTCTAAATAATTTGATCCAGAATTATATGAAAAAGAATCGTTACGCAGTTAATATGAACTGCTATGAACAAGGAAAACTGTGCTAGGATACAGCCTTATCTCATGAATTAATCTGCACTGTTTATGTCTGCACATTATTTCTCCCATTTTCACTTCCACACTGAAAATCTGTGGATATGTGGACAGACTCCAGCTGAAACACTGAAAACTCAACATTTTGTTCCACACACATTTTTGAACCTGCATTCTGTGCAATAACAACATCAAAAGTGAAGCCTAGTGGAAACAATGGGAAACACTTTAGGGCTGTACAATACATTAGTACCATAGGTTACTGGCTGATATATATATATATATACACACACACACACACACACACACATATATATATATATATATATATACACACACACACACA